CTTTTTACTAATCAGCCTAATCGTGAGTTTCGCCCGAACCAAATTTCGCCAACAGTTTTTTCATCCACCTGTAGTGAATACACGCAAACGAAAAGTAAAAAGTGACCCGGTTCTAGAAAATGAAACTCATGATAAAGCTGAATATGTCGGAAACTAAAGAAGAACAGATAACTCTATTTGAAAGATTTTGATTAGTTTAGTACGACAGCAATACTAACGCAATTTGTACCAAATAGCCGAAAACATTTTAGTCAATTACTCGGAAACTAAAGAAGATATCCGAAAACCGCAAATTGTCAAAATGACGCTTCCGGCAATTTTCCATCCAAGCGACGATATTTGAATGTTACTCGCATATTTTCGAGCCTGTATGTAAATTTTCGGGAGAAAGGTGAAAAAGTATATTCATCTGCTGAAAAGATATTTTCGCAGATTCACAATTTATTTAAAATAAATCTATCAGCCCTATCTCCAATTCCATGTGAATAAATCTCTCCAGTGCTTAAATAATTTGCACCACAATAAATAGCTGCACAACACCCTAATTGCCGAAAAAGCGTTGCTTGCAACCCTAGTCCTTTATGGGGACCAAACTTGGTGAAAAAAAATAACTAAGTTTGTTTACTGGATATACTGAGATTTCACTACTCTTCTTCGACAAAGTAAACAAGCAAACAAGTAGGAATTAGAACTGTCAAACTATCGACGATAACATCGATAGTCTAGTCACATGAAATAACTATCGATAGTTTTAGTACTATCGCCACTATCGTTTCATTGGGTAGGTTCAGAAGGCGCAGCAGTTGAGCGCAACCGTTGCTAAAAAAATTAGTGATCGTAATGTGTCTTCTGAACGGTTTGATACATTAGCTGTCAAAACACACAACATGTTGTCTCAAATGATGAAAAAAAAATTTCAAACAATTTAATTACAGTGACGTCATTTTTTCGCCGCCATGTGAATGAAACGGAATTAAACCGTGAGTGTGAATGAAACAACCGATTAAAAAATGACGTTATCAACTATTATTTTTTTCTCAAATGCAATTACAAATACACGGTTGTCGTGCTGGGTGATCTCTTTAGTTGGTTCATGGCATTATTTCTAAAAGCATCATTTTATATTTTAAGCGTGGAAATAGCAGAGGTTACATTGCCGTCTTAAGAGCGTGCCAGACGTGGCAACGCAGTATATTTCAAAAGACTGTAAAATTGAGAAATATCAGAAAGCAGTTGCATGAGCAGTGGTACCTTGCATGTAAAGTATTTTTCGAAAGAAATTTGTTTATTTCCGAAAGGCGAATTGCAGGGAAAATTTCTGAAATCGCTTTGACTGTCTACACGGCGAATGAATTTCTATCAATATTTCTCGATACTAAAATGCAACCGTGAGCCCTTAAAATAAGTAAATTTATAATAGCAAGATAATGAAAAATAAATGGATTTAGAAGAACATATGTATGAAATGGGTCGATACTATCGATAGTATCGATAGTCACCCTTAATACTATCGTAAACCATCGATGGACTTGACTATTGATAGTTTGACAGCTCTGGTAGGAATGCAAAAAAAACATCGATGCATCGGAAACATCGATGTTTCCTATTCGATGTATCGAATAAAACCGATGTTTTGGACCTTCCGATATAAATCGATATATCGATGTATTTTTTTCGATGCATCGACTTTTGTGTGCAATGTTCACTTTGCATACTAAAATTATTTTGTATGCTTCCAAACTCTTCGCTCTAGTAACTATTCTAAATGTGGATTTTTCACTATTTATGTACTATTAGAATATACATTCTATTAATATTATCCAAAATGTTATTGCATTAATAAATTGCTACTGTATTAGTAGAAACCAAAGAACGTAGATAACAAGAAGGGACAACTCGTTATAATTGTGGCGAAGGTGCGCAACAGGGGCGTGCCTTCTCTTTTCATCCAATCAAAAAAAGCACTACGGCAAAAGAGAAGGCACGCCCCTGTTGCGCACTTTCCCTACAATTATAACGAGGTTGTAACAAATCACCCATCCCTATTATTCGTACAACTGGCAGCTCTGTACACTCAACGTAGTTTGCCCACTTCCTCTTTGACATTTGTTTGAGTGGCAGCACCACATTGTAATTTAATTCTCGTGAAATCATTTTTGTCGTGGATGTCAAGTTGAAGTGGCGCAAACTGCGGTGAGTTTATTTAACTTATATGTACTGATATTTGTTGTTTTAATGTAACAGTTCCTTTGTTCTAGAAATAAACGCACTTCCATCTTTGGGTATATAAGAAAAGGCGTTCTATTTCTTTGCCTTCCCACGACTTTTACAGAGGTGTCCCTTCTTGTTATCTACGTTCTTTGGTAGAAACTTTTATTGCCAAAATATCATCTACATTATGATATTAATTGATAAGATATTGACACTCTAAAACCATTTAGAAATTTGGACAGATTTTACTGGCCACAAGCTATTTCGCTAGCTACATCAGCTACATAACCAATAATACACCATAACCACAGCTACATATTGTGGGAAGCTTAGAGCATTTAGAATATTTTAACTTTTGACAGCTTTTGCTACATACCACAGCCTCACCATTCTGGTTAGCCAGTTAAACCGCAATTTCCAAAATTTTGTCACATAGCTTATCAGCATAGTGAAATAATATAAAGTGTGGCAGCCAGTTTGATGTAAGCTTATTTCAAAGCAAAACTTGAGTTTCGTCATTTTCGCTTTTATCAATTCTGGCATTAACCCTTGGTTTTGTTGCATCCTCTGCCCGATTTTGGCTTAGGTCCTCATCCCGACGGACTGAAAACATTAGTATTGCAACGTTATCTGTGCTTTTGCACAATTTTGCAATAATAGGAGCGTTCCTTATCTCCCATAAATAGTCAGAAAAAGTCCGAAGTAGTCAGATTTAGTCCAAAAAGCGTTCCTTAACTCGGAAATGACAGCTAAAATGAGAGAGCAGCACCCAGTGAGAGTGACTCTCATCAGTCCGAAGTAGTCAGATTTAGTCAGAAGAATTTTTTCTGGCAAAATCCTGAAAAGTGTCAAACTCAACTAAATTTAAATTAACGGAAATTAAAGAATACGCAAAAAGTGAGAATAATCTAAAAAGTAAAAAAAGTGAATTGAAATTGGAAGGAGGCATAAAATAATTGATATAGTAAGTGTTTATTGTGCTTGTTCTTGTGTTTTATACATACATTTCCATTCTTATTTGACGTTAGCTTTGTTGTTGCCATTCTTTGGACTAAAAATTTGGTTTTTTGCGTTCCTTTACTTTTCCTGTTATTCTCTTTTAGTGAGCGCATTTTGCTTACGCTCTGGCATTTTGACACTTTTCAGATTTTAGTCCAAAAAGATAAGGAATGAACGTAATTTATGGTCTTTTTTTATTTAACTTTTTTACTGAAATCAAAAAACTTAATAATTTCTCTACTGGGTTACTATGAAAGTCAAATTAAAAACAAATTATTATAATAAATTGCCAAATAAGTGTACCGAAATAGAATGTGATTGCTAGCTGGCACCCTTTATATTATTTCATTATGCTTATAAACATTTAACAATTGTCGCCACTTCCGTATCTTCCGAAATTTTTTTCGAAGACTTCCCAAAAACAGAATAAACTGGGATTTGTAACTGTTTAAATCAATTAATACATTAAGGGCCGGTTGTTCAATGTCTGATTAGCACAAATCGGAGGTAGAAGCTCCGGTTAAGTACAACGACTGTTTTATCGATCATATGTTACATGCATGATGTCGAAATCGTCGATAGTGTAGTGGTAGCGATAACCAGACATTGAACAACCGGCCCTAAACTGTGAGTTATCACTTAAACATTTACCGAATTTACGATTGTTTCATTTTGTTGTTGTATATTTTGAATTGAAAGAAACCGTTGATATATTCATTCGCTGCATCGAAAATATCGATGTTTTTATACGATACATCGATATTCATCGTCGCTATATTTCGATGCATCAAATCGAAAAAAACATCGATGTCTTTTTTTACTTGCATCCCCATCATATTGCATCATGTTGCATCCCTACAAACCACAATATACCCAGAAACCAAGAACGATAGAATACAAGATTGCGCCAATCAAGCTGAGAGCAACTGGCCATGACGTCAATAAATACCAGAATGAGAGAGCAAGACGAACTCGACAAGAAAAAGAGGAAGCATCGAACAAAAGGCAGTATTGCCAAGTTTTGAATTTGAAAAAGCACCAAATTTATATTGGTGTATTTTACGGACTTTATATACATACATAATTTTATTGTAAGGATGCCGATTCAAATTAATAAAAATTAATGTTTCTTGCACGACGGTCGATTTCATCTGGCATGATTGAAGGTGCTGCCACATATTTTGTAGTCGCTTATGTCACTGTGCCATGATTTTGTTAAAATTTTTGTAAACTGGCTTACCACACTTACAATTGCTATAAATTTTGCTTCCAGTTTTTTAAGATTTTCTAATTTGGTGTCTTCAAACTAAAAACAAAAACACCAAAAACGCACCATGCACGAAACTCAAAAATTTTAGCGTTTTGAATACCCACTAAATTTGGTGCGAAAAGCATAAAGTTGGCAACAGTGAATATAAACAAAAGTATTTAATGACGTCAGCGATTGGGTGGATGCTGTCAAATCGACGAAGAGAGGGTTAGCGGTCCGCGAATGGCGCGACCTTTATTTTCTGGATCGTGCCCAGAAACAACCTTCGTTGAATTTGGCGACTGCCTTCCTCGGGGATGAATATGCTAGGGATGAAATTATTTGTACACACGCCTTCCAAGCACGCAGGGTTGCTTTTAAGAAACAAAAAATAATTAACTCCAAATAGTTTCAAAAATTATAGTGTAAAACGAAATTTATTGAATAATTCCACATAAAATGGCATACATAAATGACTCATTTTCTAAACGATTTAAATAAAACGCATTTCATAACCTTTTTTGTGCAAACGGCATTGCGAATTGAGAGAAAATACTAAGGACTGTAAATTTTTGTTAACTATAAGGTGAATGAAAATTTTCAACCCGGCCTGACGGTTTTGAAGATTTTTTTTTGTTCTAATGTTATTACTAAAGCGTCTAATAAATGCATGGCTTTTAGTTCTAGAAGAATAAAAGTCAATAAAGACAAGTCTTTTTTTGTATAATTTCTGATTTTAATTGCTCAACTTCTTTTGCACCAGAGCAACTGTCAAAATTTCCAGCAGTAAAAAGTTACGAATTGGCACAACAGAAATGTAAAATTTTCTCGCCATAATAAAAAAGTTTTTTCAACATGGAACTTTTCTACTAATTGACATGAAATTACTGTCTCAACGCTCGGAGCGCTGCCACTGAGGGCTTTTGCCAACTGATAAAAAAGAGAAAATTTGGAAATACCAAACAAATACGAATACGAATGCCATAATTTTTACCTAGCTCGTGGGACTACGCAAAATTTTGACAGCTTGTAAATATGTATACACATAAAGTTGTCGGCGGTAATAGAGTCAAAATCAAACTGGAGAAAAGAACAAAAAGCGTACGTTAGTTGTCAGTTATAAAATAAATCCAATTTATTTGCGAATAATTGTTTATTCTATTTATTGAAAGGCAACCACGCGGAAAAGCTTGTGTTAATTATATTGATAACAGAACCTGGCAGCTCGCACGTTGTCTAAATTCTC